GTGTGTGTGTGTGTGTGTGTGTGTGTTTCGGGATCAAATGCGGGTCGAGAAAACGAGAAAATGCCGCCCTCTCGCGCCACTCAGTAGCGGATCAGAAGCGGGTCGACGTAGTGCGCCTCGGCATTGTTGAACGGCGCGTGCGGAGCTTGCACCGCATACTGCGCATAGCCGTGCATCATAGCCTGCTTCGAGGCGTAGCCCGCGTAGAGCGGCGAAAAGGCATCGATGGGGGGCGTCGGGTACGGCGTCGTGGTCGCCAGCGGCTTGCGGATCGCCATGACCTCGGCCGCATCGTGCGCAGGCTGCCAGTGAAAGTAGTCGCTCTGGCACGCGATGGGCGCAGGCATGTGCACGCCCAGGATGCCCCGGTCGTACCCCGCCGCCAGCTGCCAGTACGCGAGCGGATGCGGCTTGCACGTCATCCCACCCGCGGCACCCGCAGGCTGCTGCATCACAAACGGCGCCAGCAGCGTGTTGGGCGTCGAGACCAACGGCTCAAACACCGAGCGTGGGTACGGCTGCGCAAAAGGCGGGCTCAGGCCGTAGTTGCGAGCCGCCGCGCCGAACGTGTGCATCGCACGTTCGTCGTCGAGCTGGCGACGCTTGGTGCTGCGTTCGGGCGAGGGCGTCTGGTAGCAGCTCGGCTCGCTGAGCGGGCTAGTCTGATCGTACTGGCTATAGCTCCTCTTGGCACCACCACACACCGACGCTAGCGGCTGCTGGACACCGTTGGGCATCACGTGCAGCGAACGCGAGGCACAGTCGGCCGAAGAAGCGGCGGGGGTAAGGTAGCCTGCGTGGTTCATGATGGCCTGGACGCCGGCGTCCATCTCGAAGCGTGGCACCAGCGCCGCCACGGGGGCGGGCGCAGCGGCAGCCGCATACATGTGGCTCAGGTGGCTCGTAGCCGCTGAGGGCGACGAGCGATGGCGCGGTTCGGCCACCTCGGGCGACCAGGAACGCGACTGGCTCACGCGCGAGTTGTTGGCGATGCGTCGTGGCGCGTCGTAGATGGCCGAGAGGCCGGGTGCTTGGTGCGGGTGCAGCAACGCCGACGGGTGCGATTTCGAGGCGGTCGAGTGGATGAGGCCGTGCTGGTGGAGTGCCGTCTGACGCGCCTTTTCGGCCTCGTGGGCGCAGAGTGCGAGGTGGCGGCGCTCTGCGAGGATCTCGAGCGTGCCGATCCAGCTGCGGAAGTCGGCGTCCGAGGCGTGGATGTTGGACGAGAGGCCGAGCCAGAACTCGATCTCCATCTTGGTGACATCCTTGAGCTTGAGGCCCGAGAGTTCGGACCAGGTCTTGTTGGTGTAGGTGTGGTCGTCGAGGAACTTGTTGGCGAGCATGAGCGCGGTGACAAACAGGCGGAACTCGCTGCCGTCCTGGCCGCGGAGGCCCGGGTTCTTGGACTTGAGACGGTGAATGTAGAGGAGCGCGAGGATGATGACCGACTTGGACACCTGGGTGGTGTTGAGCATGTTGCGCACAAAGTCGGTGAAGCGGCGGCGCGGGAAGAGGCGAAGCGTGCGCGGGTCGCTGGATCGCTCCGAGGCGGTAGGTCGCGAGCGGCTACCAGCATCGACGGCAGAACGGGCGTGTGCCTCGACGGCGTTGTGGAGGTCGCGGACGGAGAAGGAGACTGCTTCGGAAAGGCTGCCGAGGCTGAGCTTCTTGGAGTGACGCTTGGCGGTGGGCGAGTTGGTAACGGAGAGACGGCCGGGACGGGTGGTGGGACTCGAGACGGCCGAGGATGCCGAGAAGCTGGGCTCGTGGCTGTCGATGCCGCTGAACCAAATGTAGCACACCATTTGTGCGCACCAGTCGCTGACCGAGGTAGACGACTTGAGGTCGGCGTCGTCTGAGGAGGGCTTGGAGGTGGCGGCGGCGGCAGTGGCTTGTTCGACCTCGGCGTCGGATTCTGAGGCAGCTGAGAGGGCGTGAGTGACGGGGGCGACGATGGAGTCGGCTTGCTGCTTGTTGGTGGCAGCGTGCTTGGACTGCTTGTGAGTTCGTGGCCAGTTCTCCTTGCCAAAGTAGGCGGCGTCGCGAGGGAGGTCCTTGCGCAGGCCATCCGGCAGAGGCAGCGCCGAGGGAAGTGGAGCGACGTACACCATAGTGGGCGGCAGCGTCGGGCGGTAAGCGGACAAGAGTGGTGTAGGCGAGTAAAGGTGCGCAACCGTTGGACGGCGGGATGGCTACCAGAGCTGTCCGCGAACGATTGAGAGAGGGTCACGCTCGCACGAGCAGAAAGGACTGACCCCGTGGAGACGGATGATTCAGGCCAAAGTTGAGGCTGCCAACATGGAGGTGATGGGGTTGAGACAGTAGACGCCGGATCAGAGAGCGGCTACAGAGAGGGAAGGCAATCGGAAGGGTGATGGCTGTGGTGCAAGCGCTGCCGTAAGGCGTTGAGTGTGGTGCGGAAGGAAGGCTACAAAGCGTTGATTTTGGAGCAAGAGTAGACGGCGGGTATGAGCGCCGTATAAGCGGGAGTCGAAGGCCGTGGGTGTGCAGATGCGCTGGGATAGACGATGTTGGACAGAGAGATGGCTGTTGGAGACCGAAGTGTTGGAGGAAGGATGCTAGTCTGGTAGGCTCATGGAAGAAGGTGAGGAAGCAGCACCGTCGAGGAGGTTGAGCGTTTGGAGCAGCGTGTGCGGTGCAAGCAGCGAGCAAGTGAGGAGCTGGCAGCTAACAGCTAGGCTTGTGTGTGTGTGAGAGAGAGAAGGAGAATACAACTAGAGAAGGCGAGTAGGTAACGGGTGAAGAGAACGTGGGTTGCACGAGAGGTGGGAGGAGATGGCAAGAAGAGTTGATCTTGCCAGAAGGCGAGGCAAGGGGGGCCGGGCGGGCAGGGGATGGATGCTTGATGCAGTCGATGGCGGATGCGACTCTGGCCTGGGCAGGAGGAGTAGCAGCAGTGACAGCAGCGGCAGTGGCAGTGGCAGTGGCAGTGGCAGCAAGCGTGGGGTGGGGAGTGAGGCGTCAGAAGGACTCAAACCAGAACAACCGAGGCGGAACGGGCAGCAGCAAGCACCAACAGCACGAGCAGCACAAAGCAGGAGCTAGGAGGCGGAGGAGGGCGAACACCCAAGACAAGGAGGCGGAGGCCGAGGCCGAGGAGCGGCGGCTGCAGCTGCAGATTGACAGGTAACTTGGCGGCGCGCGGAAGTTGCACTCCAACACAAAGAAAAGTGCCGAGAAGGCCTTGTGGACGAGCCGCGCCGCGCCCTTGGCCGACGCAATGCAGAGCCGACGCGAGGCACAGGCGAGGGCCAAGGCAAGGCAAAGCAAAGCAAAGCATGAGGTGACCCGCATGCCACGCTTGAATCCAAGCGGCGCCGAACCCAGGCGGGCACAGCCTGAATGAGGGCGAAAATGCACGAGTGCAGTGCAGTGCTGGGGTGGAGGGCTTGGCTGTGGGAGCGGGCGGCGCGGTTTGACAGCACCTCTCGCTTATTTGTGTCGAGGCGTTCCAACCGCACCCAGGCATGTGGCAAAGGAAGGAGGAGGCAGCAGCAGCAGGGGCAGCAGCAGCAGCAGCCGCAGCAGCATGTCCGACCATCGATGTCGATTCTTAATTTCACTAGCTTGCTCAGCTGGCTCAGCCTGCTTAGCTTGCTGCGATGGGATCAGCCCACCAAGCAGCGGACCCCGGCCGAATCTCAGCGACAGAGCATCAAGCTTCGTGATTACATCCCGTATGTACGGATGGATAGCGGGTTGGATGACAGCAGCAGTGCAGCCAGACTCAGGCTCGCTGTCCCCAAATCTGGGTGGGGCGGGCGGAGGTGAAATCGGAAAAGCCGAGCCCCCAAGCTGGTGGGCGGTTGAAGCTTCCCAGCGCGGCAGCCGTGGGAGGCAGTGGGGACACACACCGGCAGTACAACCGCAATCCCACCTAGCCCAAGCCAAGCCTCGGCGCCAACCCTAGACCAGCCCTCTCCCTCGCCCTAGTTCACCAGCCGGCCATGCGGCCAAGCGGCAAAGTCGCATAGATCCAACGCTTTCTCCTTCCGCTGGGATGGGCTCAATTTGAACTGCGGAATCGCATCTGATCCGACTGCAAAGCCTGCAAGCTTTGGCCCCGTCTCCGGTCTCGGTCTCGAGCCCGCGCTTCCACCGCAGCTCGTCACGCAGGCATGCATGCAAGGAAAGCGGGCTACAGGATTTATTGCTTCGTCCAGCCACCATCTGATGGAACGGGCTCAAGGCTCAAAGCATTGAATGGTGATGCCCATCTGCATTTGCTCTGCAAGTGTTGCACGGGCAGGGGAACGCCGAAGGAGGCGAGCAAGCAGACTCGTCGACGCATGACCCAAGTCGAGCTCGCCTCGTGCTCGCTTCGACTCCCGCCGCCTCCCTGGTGCCGGGCATCCCAAAAACGAACAAAGGGCAGCGGAGGCCCCGTGGAAATCATGGAATCTTGAATGCGCTGCTGCTCACTAAATCTAGTCGCACACCGAAGGCCCGCGTTGGGTTAAGCGAGGTGCCAGGCGAGGCACGGAGCGGGCACCAAAACTGGGATGCAATGCCAACCCGAAAACCCGCCGCGCCGAGTCGCGCGCTGCTCACGCAGATCCCCACGGCTCGTGAGCGCAGCTGCGAACAACGGCCAAGCCCAAGCCCCAGCCCAAGGCCAAGGCCCCAAGACGGCACCGCCATCGAGACAGCTCCAACAAGCTCGTCTCGGCGTCCACCGTGGGCCGAATCACACGCTCAAGCTCCTCCACGCGGCCAAGGCTACGCTTCAATTGCGCTTCACCAAATCAAGCGCGGCAAGAGCCCACGGGAACGTAGGACCAGCCGACAAATTGCAATGAGCCGGGCTGTGCTGTGTTGTGCCGTATGGAACGGCAGCGTTGGTGGCCACCGAGGCGGAGCCGGCAACGGAGTCTCAAGCGGCAGGCGGAGACGCACCCACGGCGACACACTCAACAGTCAAGGCGCGGAGAAGAAATGTACGTCAGGCTGGATTCGGCTCGGCCGCGTGTGAAGCTATAAGCACACGCGAGCGCCGGCATCACGCCCCAAGCGAGGCATATTGGGCGCTTCACCGATGGCAATCGACGCCCTCCCGTGCCTAAGCCTTTTTTTAAGCCCTCTTTTTGTGGCCGCTGCGCTGCAGGGGAAAAAAAAAGAATCCATTCGACGGCAGCTCCGAGCAGCCTTCTCCACCACTTCTGCTCTGCTTTGCTCTCCTCTTTTTTTTGCTTTGCATGCGGCGCGACTGTGGGTGCCTCAAAGAAGTCAGGATTCAGCTCAGCTCGCAACGAGCCAACCAGTGTCTCTCGTTCCGAGTGAAATCGATCTTGTGAATCCACACCCAAAGTCACAACTCTGTGCATCGCTGCAAGGCGGGTTTCAAACGCACGACGCCGGCGAGCTGCGGCTGCGGTATGCTTGCAAAGTGGTGACGGTGCAAAAGGGTCCCCTTAGCCCGCACCCGAAGCGACACTCGCCAGCCGATACCCATTCCAACCCTCTTCAGCCCCGGCAAGGGGACACCTCAAAGCCAAAAGCGCAAGATGAGAGCCAAAAGAAAAATCGTAGTCGAAAGCAATCAGGACGTGGAAAAAAAGCTTCTTTGGTTCACTTGCGCCAAAGCAGCGCGCGGAAGCCGCCGATGATGTCG